CACAGACAGATTTTTCATCATCGCTGGGGATTTTAATCATGCAAATCTCAAGACGGTTTTACCCCACTTCCACCAACACGTGACCTTTCCCACAAGAGAAGGTAACATTCTGGATATGATTTACACATCAGTTAAAGGTGCTTACAAAGCTTCACCCCTCCCCCACATCGGCCACTCTGACCATATCAGTGTAATGCTAATGCCAGCTTACAGACCGAGGGTTAAAGTCACCAAACCAGTTCTGAAGCAGGTATGTGTGTGGCCAGAGGGGGCCTCTGCTGCACTACAAGACTGCTTTGATACCACAGACTGGGAGATGTTTAAGCAGGCAGCCACCTACAACAACCACACAGACATTGAGGAGTATTCTGACACTGTTACCTCCTACATTAGCAAATGCATTGCTGATGTCACCACCACCAGAACCATCACCACCCGGGCTAACCAGAAGCCATGGCTGACAGGAGAGGTACGCGGGCTACTGAGGGCCAGGAACACCGCCTTCAGAGCTGGGGACGCAGCCTGCCTGAGAACAGTGAGGGCCAACCTGTCCCGTGGCATCAGGGAAGCCAAACGCAGCTACACGCTAAAAATAACCGGACACTTAAAGGACAGCAGAGACGCGCAGAGCCTGTGGCGTGGTATCCAGACCATCACGGACTACAAACCCAAGCCACAGACCTGTGACAGCAACACCTCTCTGCTGAACGACCTCAACAGCTTCTTTGCCAGGTTTGAAGCACACAACAGCACGCCCCCACAGAAGACCACCCCCCTCCCCACGACCAGACCCTGTGCTTGACTGCAGACAGCGTCAAGAGAACCTTCTCCAAGATCAACACCAGCAAGGCTGCAGGTCCAGACAACATTCCTGGCCGTGTGCTGAAGGACTGTGCAGAGGAGCTCAAAGATGTCTTCACAGACATTTTCAACGCTTCTCTGAGTCAGGCTGTTGTTCCGTCGTGCTTCAAAGCCACCACCATCATACCTGTTCCAAAGAAGCCCTCACCATCCACTTTCAATGACTATCGACCCGTTGCACTGACCCCCATCGCCATGAAGTGCTTTGAAAGGTTAGTCATGGCCCACATCAAATCCACCCTCCCCGCCACCCTGGACCCCTACCAGTTTGCATACCGAGGTAACAGATCCACCGAGGATGCCATCTGTTCTGCTCTTCACCCAGCCCTCACCCACCTGGACACCAAAAACTCATACGTCAGAATGCTGTTCATAGACTTCAGTTCAGCATTCAACACCGTCATCCCTCAGCAGCTGATCGGCAAACTGGACCAGCTGGGGCTCAGCACTTCCCTGTGCAACTGGCTGCTGGACTTCCTCAGCGAGAGGCCTCAGACAGTGCGGGTCGGCGGCAGCACATCAAAAACCATCGTCATGAGCATTGGGGCCCCCCAGGGTTGTGTGCTCAGCTCCCTGCTCTTCACGCTGCTGACCCACGACTGCGCTCCATCCTTCAGCAGCAACCACATTCTGAAGTTCGCGGACGACACAACAGTGGTTGGTCTCATCTCCAACAACGATGAGACGCACTACAGAATGGAGGTCAGCCAACTGGCCACGTGGTGCAGAGACAACAACCTCTTCCTGAACGTCGACAAGACCAAGGAGGTTGTTGTCGACTTCCGGAGAGTCCCCACTCCTAAACCCCCACTGACCATCGACGGTGCTGCTGTGGAGAGAGTGAGCAGCACCAAGTTCCTGGGGGTTCACATCAGTGAGGATCTCTCCTGGACAACCAACACCACATCACTGGCCAAGAAGTCCCAGCAGCACTCTACTTCCTCCGCAAGCTGAAGAGAGCACGAACCCCCCCATCCATCATGTGCTCCTTCTACAGAGGCACCATCGAGAGCATCCTGACCAGCTGCATCACTGTGTGGCTTGGGAGCTGCACTGCTGCCAACCGCAAGACCCTGCAGCGCACAGTGAAGGCTGCTGAACGGATTATCGGTGTCCCACTCCCCTCCCTTCTGGACCTCTACGGTACCCGCCTCACCCGCAAAGCAACCAGCATTGTGCGTGACCCCACCCACCCCTCACACAGCCTCTTCAGCCTCCTGCAATCGGGGAGACGGTACCGCAGCCTGCGGGCCGGCTCCCACACACTGGGAAACAGCTTCTTCCACCAAGCTGTCAGGAAGCTTAACTCTCTCCCCTCTCTTCCTTCCCTCCCCTCTGCCCCCACGAACACTGGACGTTGAACCCCCTCCCGTTTACCACCAAGAACTCTGGACTAATATTTCTGAAGCTAACATCTCAAAAGTACACTCAGTTTACTGCACATTGCTCAAGTTTACAAAACTCTGGACTAATAACTCTGAAGCTAACTTTTCAAAAGTACAATCAGTTCACTGCACATTGCACATATTGCACAATTTTACTTTTTCTTTAAATTTTATTTTATTTTATTTACCATTTTGTACCTTTTGCACAATTTAGAATTTATTACTGTAAATATTATTTATCTTATTTTACCTCATTTTATTTATCTGTTTTACCTTTTCTTATTTTACCTTATTTTGGTTGTATTGCATCGTGGGACGGAGACAAACGCAATTTCGATTCCACTGTATGTCTGGCATATTTTGAAATTGACAATAAAGTTGACTTTGACTTTGATTGGTGAGGGTTGGAATTGAGATAGACTGGTCAATTGAAAGCTGATGATTCACAAACCTGGCTGTCAATTTCCCAATCCATTTTACCCTCATTGAAAAAGACAGCAAGATACTTGAACTCCTTCATTTTTAGGCAGATACTTCCCTCCACACCCAGAGGAAGTAATCCACCATTTTTGGATGGATAACCCTCTTTTAGACCTGTGCTGAACTTTACACTCAGCTACAAAATACCCATGGCCTGCTGGAGGTCTCACATATTTGTATTTTTCCTGAGGATGTGGACACACCTCTCTCTTTGGTTAAGTAGGGCTTTCCTAAGTCCACTATACACATGTTGACTCTATTGTGTATATGTTGTCTCGTGCTCGAATCGGATGTTTGTGGCTATCTCTACAAGCCGCAATATAGCTACGAGCAGTTGAGGCTGGAGGAACGGGCGGCTGCTAGGGCTGCTGAAGCACAAGACCTGCCTGTGGCCACGGTGATGGTGAGGAGCCGGGACGGCTGGGGCAGAGCTGTGCATTCTGGGAGTTGTTGTCTTTTATCCACAAGAACCAATAATCATTTTTCTCCTTTTCACGGACAAGAAGGCACCAATTTCAAAAATGATTTCACATTTCTACTAAATATATGACCCAATTTAAATACAGATTCATGTTTCAACGGTGAAGTATCCCTTTAAAACACAAGTTATTTAAAAAACTGTGAACCTTTCATGCAATGTGTTTTTTTAAACAGGGTTTGTTTGACTTTTTTGACAATATTAAGTCACTTAGATGCTTATGCCTGACACAGTGTAAAAAAATAAAGGAAGGACATATTATTCTAAATACAAGGCAGATGTCCTTACAAAATGATAACTGTATTGATAAAGTTGTCAAAACAAAAAATATTTTGGATTCTAGTGATGAGCAAACTTTCTGTACTGCTGTTTCAATGTTGCATCACAAATGTTTCACTATGACAGTGGGATCTCTGCAGAAGAGTTTAGCTGACTGTTCACTTTAAGATATTTTTTTGGTTTAGTGGTATTTGCATCCTGTGTTGATGTTAGAACTTGTTTTGTCTCACAGTAACCCTCTCATAACAACGATGTCATCATACGGCACTAATGAAAGCAAGTGTGACAATATGCCGTGAGGAAACATTACCTACAAGCAGCTAATTATACACTGAGGGTGGTGCAGAGCCCTATGGGATTTCAAAACACACTTTATGTTTGAAGTTGAAACTCTGAGTTGTGTACAATAAATGTGTTGGTTTTCCATGATTTTTTCTGAATGAAAAAAACCCCAAAACCTTTCTGGATATGAACTCTATAGCCACCTCCTTTCACTAGTGCAGTATCCACAAACATGGTTACATGTGCATCTGCATGATTGTAGAGCAGATGTACAAATGTGTGTATACAGGGTCCAAAATGGTCCGCCAAGCGCCAAATGCGGGTAAAAGGTTTGATCAAAAAGTCATAAAAACTATGCTATGAGTATTAAGCGTGTTTGATGTAGCCTAGCTGCAGCTACTTTTCCCTGCTCCTCTCTCTGCTGTCATGACTGTCTGTGAACATCGCAGGGCACCACACGCACCTATTTACTTTTAGTGCTACAGTGCACAGTTTATCCGTAATCTGTACGGACCGAGTCGGGAACACATGTAATCCGGTCAAACGGTCGGTTCGACTTTTCTCCGTTCACTCTCACCGTGTCTGCAGCTAACTTAGTGATATCAACGTCATGAGTGTGTGAACATCTCCACACAGACTCTGTGAAACAACGCTCTGTTACAAACACTTGAGATATGCCAGAGGACTCTAAATGCACGCTCCACTTTTCTCTTCCTTCACGTGCAGCAGGAGCAGTCAGAGATATACACACATCAAATAATGAGCAGGCTGATTATATCAAGTGTCTAATATTGTCAAAGCTAAATCAGGAGAAAACTTGTTTTGAAGATTAATAATTTATTATTCTCTGATGGATTTTTGTTTATAGTCTGTAATGTTTTAATGCAGGGGCGGTTCAGAGGGGAGCGGGGGGCGGGGGGGGGGGGGTCTGTGAACTACTGCCTACAAATAATACATAAAATAAAGGCCAGCAAATATATATTTTTTTACAATTTCTCAATTTCCTGATCAGATGACATGATCGAATTTGTGACTTAAATGTGTTATTGATTAAACAAAACATATGCCTTCTCAATTAAATGTACTGTAACAGACGTGTAAAGGACACAATAAGAAAATTTGTTGTTTTGGCCGGTAAAAAATATGTTTGGCCGGTGAATTTTTTCATCTACCTGCACCTTGGCCAGTGAGTCAAAAATTTAATTTCAGATTCAGATTCAGAACAGATTCCCTGTTCACAGTGCTCTTTGCAGTATGTTGGTCTCACAGGAACCAGGTTTGAGTATCTTAAGAGTAACAATAAGCTTTACAGATTTTCTAAACCAGGGGTAAAAAAATGCGTAGATCAAGGGGTTTAGACAGGAGTTGAAGTAGAACAAACATATGACAAAAGCAGCAGATGAAGCGTTGAGCAAAGTGTCCTGTCCTGAGAGTGTTACACAGAAATATGGGCAAAGACATAAAAGAAACACAACTATAACAACCCCAAGAGTCCTGGCTGCTTTCATTTCAGATTTCTTGGCAGTAACAGTCACTGAACTTTTGATCGAGACTGCTGCAATATGAGACCTCATGACACGAGCCTGAAGCACAGCCACAACAAATACACACATGTACAGAACAATGATGACGGTGACAGGACCAATAAAGGAAAAAAATAGATCTGCAAGTCCAGCAACATAATCAACAACAACCACACACTCTCCAGAGCAGGAATTAAACTTGCCTGGTTGTTTCAAGTTATCTTTCATAATGATACTGTTGTACAGAACAGAACAGACCCAACATAGACAAGTGCAGATTATAGTTCCTCTCACAGTCACCTTTGTAGAATAGTGCAGAGGGTCACAAATGGCAATATAGCGATCGATTGATATGAGCACCATGTTTCCTACGGATGAGGATGTAATTATGAAATCTAGAATATAATAGAGATTACACATAAAGTCACCGAGGAACCAGCAGCCGTCTATGAGGATGATTTGAAAGAACATGAGGAGGCCCACGAAGAAATCTGAGACAGCCAGAGAGAGGAGGAGGAGGTTTGTAGGAGTGTGGAGCTTCCTGAAGATAAAGACAGCATACATATTTACATCACTTTCCATTTCGGAAGATTACACAAGACCAGGTCAGGGCAAAATCAGTATTTTTATTATTTAAGTATTTAAGCAACCATGTTAAAAAATAGATCAAATAAACAAATACTTGAAGTGTGAGATGGAGATGATCACCAGCATGTTGAGAGATACGGTGAGCATTGAGATGATGGACAGCACAATGTAAATTAGCACAGTGTCCGAGTGAGAGCTCTTTGGCCTTGTACAGGAGGTGTTGAGTTGTGGAAAGCAGAGTTTGTCTCCCTCCATCATCAGAGAGACAGAGTGGCAGAGATGTGAAGTTTCCAAGTTCAGGCAGTGTTTTAAACAAAGGTCAGACGTTTTATAATTAATGTGGACCATTTGTTCCTCCTCTAAGATTCCTTCTGTCTTGGGGACTGATAGGCCCCACCCCTTGCTCTATACACCGTCTTAAAACGTTTTTATTTCAACATAAGTTATTCTCCATCATGTCAAAATAATTCAACTTCTCAGCTGGACTCTGAGTTGTAGAACGATATAGAGCGTTTTCTAAGAAAAGGCCAGCTTCTGCTAAATGTGGCCTCTTTCCTAGCTTGAATACTTAAAATACATGCAAGTAAAACCCCATTTCTAATACAAGTTGGGACAACTGGGGTTCAGTGGTAGAGTGGGTCGTCTCAACCGGAAGGTCTTTGGGGATCCTCAGCTCCTGCAGCCATGTTGTGTTCGATGTTTCTCTGGGCAAGACATACCCAAGTTGCCCCTGTTTTTTCATCAGCAGTGTATCAATCTGTATGAATGGAATTGTTAATACTGATGGACTCTTGACATAGAAGCCTCTACCATCATTGTGTGAATTTGTTTGAATGTGTATGTATGACCTGTAGAAAGTGCTTTGAGTAGGCTGAAGACTAGCGCTATACAAGCTCAAGTCCATTAACCATGATTTGCAAAACACTATGTTAACTTTAAAATAGCTCAAAGATAACATGAAACCAACAACTTTTGTTGTTTTGGGGGAATTAAATGCCCAATTTGAAACCGTCATGTTTCAGAACAGTTGAGACAGTGGCAAAAAAAAAAGGCTCAATTATTGCTGAACCATTCTTCTCTAATTTACTGCCTGCCGCTTTGGACATGGATGCCATATTGAATGAGGTCTTAGCATGGTTGGAGAACCTGTTGAAGTTTGATCATTATCGTCATAATCGACGTGCTGAACCAACTTTTCTTTATTTCCATCCCCTACGACGAACGCAAAAAGAGGAGGTGCTCTAGGAACTAGACGGTGTCAGACCCCCCCCCAGTCTGTTCGATGGCCACGTCTGGCCCATGTATTTGAAACCCAAGAACATCACCGCTCAGTTGCTTGCTGCTTCTGTGAGTAGCTGCTTCTGCTTCTTGCTGGCCTGTAAGCCGGTTAGCAATTTATGTCTCTTTCTACTTTTAAAAACCCAGAAAAGTAGACTCAGGAAAATCTCATAGCTTGTATTATCCCCATACTTTTTATTGATTATATACGAACATAGCAAAGGAAGATAACCCATACAGTATGTTTTGATCTTGGTGATCCCCAACACTAAGGATTGCAGGTTTTAATTTCAAACAATGCCCACAATTTGTCCAATAGCAGAGAATGTAAATACAACCACACATTCAATCAATCAATCAATCAATCAATCAATCAATCTTTATTTGTAGAGCGTCTACTCATAACAAGTGTTATCTGGAAACACTTGACAAAAAGCAGGTAAAAGACCTTACTCTTTATTTAATATTACAAAAGAGCAGGTAAAAAGACCACACTCACAACTGCCATTCCAGTTCTATTTTTCTATAAGTCACTAATTTATTATTTGCTCATATATCCGATCTCCGAGCATCTATGTTTATGAGATCATGAAACAAGAATTAGTTGTTCCTTCTTCCAGGTGTTAATTGAATTTCCTGTCGAATGCCCCTAATCTAATCAACACCTTTCCAATACTACAGTAATCATTTTTATTATGTAGGGAGAGAGAAAGCCAGAAACCCAAGGAAAGATCAAAACGATTTCTCCGGCTAGAGAATATCAGTGTACTCATCAAGTTATTATAAGTAAGCTTGAATACATTAAGCACAAAAGTAACTGGTGGACATAAGAACAGATCCAAAACGGGACTCATATTGGGTCTTGAACAGTCAGTCTGAATCTCAATGGAAACCTGCAAAGGCAAACAAATCTTAGTTACTGTGAGTTGAATACATTTATAATACAAAGCATATTGGACAGTGCAGTGAAATGAAAATTGCATGGAATCATCAATCATTTGTGGTGAATGTGTGCTACACAAATCATCATTTGCTTATTCGATCAACTATGTCCAAGTTCCCGCAACATGGTTTTATCTCGACTAGACTTTTAAGTCAGCTGGTTTTGTTGCCACAGAGGACAGTCAGAAGAGAATACATGGGCTAGAAAAAGACAAACTATTAAGTCATTGGACAATAATGAATGTAGGCCAAATCCAGCCATATGGGCTCTGTATGAGGCACATTTTTTATTTTTTTATTTTTTTTTATTTGTCAATTTTATTTAATTCAAAGAAACAATAAAGTTAAGAAAAACAAAGAAACATAAAATCTCAAATTTTGAATGAAAAGGAGCATAATATCTGCCCCTCTTTCACAAAACATTAATTAAAACAAAACAGAACACTTAATCCAAAAACAATTAAAATTAAATTAAATTGGCTGCAGGCAAACACAGCCACTGGCAGCCCCATTGTTAGTCCTCCTTACCAATTCATTATACACCATACAAAGTATATCACAATACATTTTTGTTACAGCTTCACGAAAGAAAACAGTATCTCACTGACATATTTCCACATATTTATTCAACAAACTGGCTTTAATTTTTCTTTTAAATATCATTTTTGATTTTGATTCTTTAGTTTCTCTGTTGAGATTGTTCCATAAACTGATTCCTTTCACAGTAAAACAGCGTTCCCTCAATATGGTTCTGAATCTCGGTTTATTAAAGATCTGTGTTCCTTTTAAATTATAATGGCTTTCCCTTTTTTCAAATCTGTTTTGGATGTTATCATTAATGGCCCTCAATCAAAATCACAATTTTCATGTTGGGCTTCCATTGAAAGGACATGGCATTATGATGGCTGGAAAATGGCATTCTATTGAAGATGTGTTAACCTCTCCCTGCATGGTTTTGGTGGAGGCACTGTTACCAATCTGCACGACTTTTCCTTCTTAATGTGCAGAGTTTTGCAAGGTATAAGCACACCTTTGCACACGCCCTTATTGATGTACTGGGGACTATTTGCTATTTTAAAACCTGTATGTTTTTTTGAAGGACAATGTTTTTAAATGATGTGATATCCTGCAATGCTTTACCAATATAAGAGGAGTGTTGAGCTTGCCTAATAAGACCAGGCCATGGTGATTAAGGCAGGGTTCTCATCCTCATAACTTGACATGATAGATCTGCGCCATCTCCCGGCCTGTCCGCATTTCTGAAAGGCAATTTAAATCAGAGGCCTTTTTTGTCATTGCACAGATGTAAAACGAAATAAGGTGCTTCTTCATAGTGGTGCATACATACAATTTAAAAGCAGGATTATTCAGCACATACAACAAAATAAAATACAGACAATAAAATTGCAATAAAATTGTAGTGCATTTAGTGCATTTGTCATAATATTCAGAAACCTGCTGACATACCGGTACACAGTTGCCTCCCTGCATGACACAAAGCTGTACTTTGCAGTGCAAGTAGACGTCACCAGTCAGGTCAGTGAACTGGAACGTTTTGAAAGAGAACACGTTATACGGCCCCCTTCCATTGTTCTCTATTGTCACCGTGTCATCAGCAGGATTAGGGCAGCTGCTCAGAAGCATGAGAACAGACATGAAAGACTTGCAAACAAAACAAAAACTGAAATACAGGTTTATTGCCAATAAGCATATCTTTGTGTCTCACCCTTTGATGATTAGGTCATATCTCAGATTTCCACTTGGCGACGGCTCATTTGTAGCCCAGCAGGATTCAGTGACAAATTGGACTGCGTTTTCATCCAGCCCTTCTGTCTTAAGCGCCACCCAGATTCTCTCATTCATTCGGATATTGGTACTTGATTCGATGGTTCCCAAAAGTAGAGGATCTGTATAGGCCTTCATTGTCAGATTGTAAATCCATGCTCCAGAAGTAATCTGCTGGTCCACAGAGCTGCAAAGAACAAAACTCAAATTTCAGTCTTCAACTTGTAAACATCCCCACTGCACAAAACTCCTGACTGCATACAAAAACCAAAATGAAGCAAGTTAGCCTTCTTATGGAAATAAAATACTGGAAACTTCTTACCTCTGTTTGACTTTGATGGCTAAGCTCTTGATATCTGGCTGATTGTAAAAACAGGAGAAGTCGATATGCACTCGGTCGTGACGGTAGATATGGCCAACTATGGAGTTGTTCTGTGTCGTGATGGTGTTCTTGTAGATAATTTTGCTGTCATTTGCCTAAATGGTCACATAGACATTAGCATTAAACATGCACTTAATGTTGAACTTTTTAAGTTTTTTACTGCAAGCCCTAACACAAAAAAGATGATGTTGGAGTTGTGTAAAGCATGGCTCAGACTAGAGTTTTAAAATCCCACCCGATTTTTTCAAATACGGTAGCATCACGCACATCAGGAGAAGCTTAACAGAAATTCTTCTTCTCTATAATCTCAGCATGCACTCACTACAAGATATTAAATTTTATTAAGCTTATCTTGCCCAGCAGGGGAGCGCACCACCTCACGTCCTCTGCGAGCAGCCTGGAGTTAAGAACACCCCCACAATTTTCAGGAAAAGGGAGATGAACTCTCAACTCTACAGCAAGCTCACAGCGCGAGGTAAAATCCAAGTGAAGAGTTCGGACATACAAGTTGGGGACCTGATCATCGTTGAGAAGAACCAAAGGATTCCTGCAGACATGATCTTCCTGAGAACTTCAGAGAAAGCAGGTTCCTGCTTCATCTGGTCACAACACTTTGTTTGAGCTGTCTGAAAGCAACAACCTGTGACTTGTCCACCATAAAATAGTTGTTTCTAAGGTTGATTTAATAGCACAATCATATTCAACAGGGAGAATGGTGTATCTCCCATGGCCACATGCATTGTGTAAAATGTGGCCCTCCAAGAAACTCCGTCTTTCCAGGAACAAACCAGGAGTTTTGTGACTAAATTTCTTGGCTGTTATAAAAAAATAAAATCAAGTTTTTTGCAGGATGTTAGAAGGGATTTGGCTGTGTTGTTAATAAATCATATAGCGGTTACACACCTTGACCACTGTACCACAAGTTCTGCTGCTGTCAAACTTGAACGTCACCATGTGGGTGTCGTCCTTCATTTCCCCTTTGCAGGTCTGGTCATTGAGGTGTAAGGCAGAGTAATCGATGCCCTCCTCTTCCAAGAGACAATTAGCCAGCGTTACCGCAGCTGAACTGTGCTCGCAGGCAGTTGGCTCACCTGCACAAATGAACAAAAATGTAGCATTTGCCAAACTTTTGAGTTATAAAAGCACATATAAGAAACATGCTTAGAAAAAGTCAACATTAAATACATCCTTAAAATGTATTTAATGTTAAGATTAAGATCCTCTCCAGGTACCACCCCAAAATCCTAAGGCATCTTCTAGGCTAAATTGTGATTAGTTGTTTCTAACCAGTTCCTCTTCCGTGATAAGTCACAATTTAAGTTTTTTAAATTGGTTGACAGCACTGGTTTATTTTTTTACATTTGGCCCCAGCAAGTAACATACCAGGCAGATAATCAATCATCTACCGAGTGCCTATAAGATCAAGACAGTAAATATAGTTTTTACAACCCTTAAACTTTAAAATGCCACTTTTACTTAAGTGTTGTGGAAGAAGACAAGATTATTCTGAGCTATTCCAAGAAACTGAAACAGTCCTTCTACCTCAAATGAAACCTGATTTGTGGCACCAATTATGACTTCCTTAATATGTGTAAAAGGTGACTCACCGTAACTGCTTTTTGATCTGTACTTGGAAGCAAATATGGCGCGACAAAAGCAGCGAGGTTCCCCGCCATAGAACTTCTGACCACAGAACTCGTGATCACTGCAGAATTTATCCTGGCAGGAGTTCTGAGCATCTGCAAACATGGACAAATATTTGGTAACAATAAGCACTAACTAATTTTATTTTTTTTCTGCACACAGTTTAAACCTTGTTACAGCATTGTAAAAAAGTGAATCGAGCTAACTTGCAGTTTTACAGGAAATGTTCTCCGATTTCTAAGATATGAGAATTTTTGTATCTCAATGGATGTTTATTTTTCTGACATGAGCTTTTAATTCCCTTTTTGTTTAGATAGTGCTAAATTTAAAGGTTAAATTATTAGAACATTTTTAAAGGTGCTTAAGATTTTAAAAACAAGTATTTCAGGCTTCACATGTCATCTTGAAACATATCCAACAGTCATTATGAAGCCTTACAGCAGCTGGTCTTTGTCCTCCAGTCCTCCACCTTCACATTTCCTTGTTTGCTGCAGACTATGGTGTAGGTCTCCAGTAGCTTGCATTTGATATCGTCCACTGCAGGGTATTTGCATAAAGTGTTTGTGCAGGCAGTTACGAAGGGCTCTGGGCTGATGAGGTTGTGACAAGCAGTGAAAGGAGCCTGCTTCAGGAGATTGCACCTTATGTGAAAATTTGAAATCAAAATGATTTAATCCAGTACTCCCTTTTATCCAGTTGAAATAAGTCTCAGAGCTCCTCAAAACATGTGTGTGAAGTTTCTTGTTCTAAATCCACTCTGATCCTGTATTTGATCATGTCTATAAACCCCTCTATTTCAGCCCTGCTCAGAACAGGCTGTTTCTGTGTCTGTACCTTTAAATATGTAAATGAGCTGTGTCTGACCACGCCCCCTCTCTGGAAGGGCTCGGGTGTCTCAGTCTTTCTCGCTCCATGTCCTATTGTTTACGGTGAGAAGGCAGACTCAGAGGGCAGAATAAACACCTGGCTGTGGGAGTGTCACCCACCTGGGGGAGGGGCTACCGGCCTTTGTGATGTCATGAAGGTAAAACATTGGACGACCGTTCCACTATAGGAAAGATATGATCAGATTCAACAATGTAAATCCTATATTTTTATAAAGATCTGCTGTAAATTAAAGATTATAAGCACTATCTAGTAAACACTGTGGCTCAAACAGCTCAACAAAGTAATTAATAGGATCGTTCAATGACGTTTGGCTTTATTTGTGTTAATTTGATGATGTCGAAGTTCAATTTCCCTTTAAACTGATAAAATAAGTGTTTACCATTTAGCTTGGGTGTCACAGTTTATAGTACTGTTAGCAGTGTCATCATGTGGTACATCACACCTACAGGGACAAAAACAGCATATAATTAAAGACATTCCAATGTCTTCAAACTAAAAGTAAGATGATACTCCATAATTTGTAAGATTAGAGTGTCAGTAAGACATATTGTTTGAGATCTTACCCGGCGGAACTGTATTCAGCAACCTTTTCTCCGCTGAAAGACTTGCTGGATCCTCCACACAAACCTTGGACAGTTCCTTTGGGTCATGGTCAGATGGAGGAGAAAATGCACCACATGTGAGTTTTTTAACAGCAGTATACTAAGAAACAATTTATATACAAGATAAATCCTTCCAGTTGTTGTAAGCAGATCAATACCTAATCTATCGTATCTACTAGGGATGTGCATGACTAGCAGAATTGATGGTTAAACAATGTCACCCTCGCCAGGTGGCACCAGAATTCCAAGTCAGTTAACCAAATTGAAATATTTTCACATGTCGGTCAATTGATGTGCCCTAACTTTTACACAGGAACCCACCACAGAACCCTGTGCACAGGAACCCCTGGCAGTAAATGTTGATGTAGCTAGCATGCTAACTTTAGCCACACTCTGCAAACCAATTTAACATCAGCTGGGATCCTGCTCAATCTCAAAAGTAAAAACGTCATAACCACAATGACTAGATAAGATATTTTCCCCCTCAACTTAAATACATAGTGCACAATTGTTCCTGTTTTCTGAGTGTTTTCTGATTTTATACTTGTCAACAAGTGTGAATTCAAATATCCTTTAAACTGACTGGAAAATTGGGGGCCTAAAACATCCCTAGTGTCACTGGAAATATACTCAGAAGCCTTCAGACATGCATTGCAGTCATTAATAGCGTGAATAGTTGTTTTCATTACTATTCTTCATCAGTACTTCAATGTTCGTTGCTATGCAGATGATACAATTTGACATGCCCCAGATTCAAAACCAAACCAGACTCTTGTTCCCTCTGCCTTTGATGCTTTCTAATTAACTAGATCCCGTCTTAATCATTGACTTGTTTTGAACAAAGACATTCTCCTTATCAACCTGTGACACTGCTGTCTGTCTTTGGACTTTAAAAGACATCCTTTTAAAGGATATCAGTTGCTGCAAATTGTGAGAATAGATTGTTCTTAAAAGCTTTTATTCAACGTTGAACTTAACATTCAGTAGGTCATCGTACCTGACAGTTGGATGAGTGCTTTGTCGCCATCAAAGAAGACAGAAACCGCACCGTTGGAGGTTGATATTTTAGCAGTCACTCCTGTTTTGTCCTTTGAGAGCTTGACACCGCTGAACACCTGAGCTGTGGCATTGAGCTTCAACACATCACCATTCAGCTTTATGACAGCAGAGTGAGGAGGAAAGAGGCAGAGGAGACACTTTGTTCAAATGTTGTTTTCTGTCAGGGGATTAAAATCGTCTTTTTTTCTTTTGAATTATTTTAAAGTGGTCATATGTTAACAGCAAAATTCATCAAGTCAAAGATTTTTAAAATTTAAGATATGAAACAGTCAATCTGAAACTCTCGAAAAGGTTGTTACCAAATTTTACAAGCAAAAAAAAAATGGGGGACGCCGGAAGCCTATTGGTTAATGTGTGCCCCATGTGCAGAGGCCAAAGTCCTCTAGGCAGGCAGCCCAGGTTGGAATCCAACCCATTGCTCTTCTCCTGCTCTCTGTCTCCCAGATTTCTGACTCTATCCACTGTCCTATCTCTAAATGAGGGAATATAAAGTCAAAAAATAAACCTTCTATAAAATTTTTAAAAGAATTAATCAATCAATAAAACCCTGCAAACCAAGTTTTTTTGCACTATTGGCAAACCCTTTGTGCAGGCATCCCTGAGCAGAGCAATTAGTTTCCCAATATTTTGGCTCTCATGGCTTCCAAAATAGTATGAGGGCTAACAAATCGTGCAGCTAGGGGGCTGCACAATGAGTCTGTGTAGTATCAGTGGGTATCATACCTTAACTCTGCCACCTTGTTCCAGAGAAACCTTAACACCTGCCCCATCCAGACGTAGTACCACATTGTTAAAAAACTGACATCTCTGCGGCGTCTTTCCTGGAATACCCCATACACCTTGAGCCCTGGGATTGACCCGGGGCTCAGCAGAGTGTACCCACACCTGTCCGGGACAGTGTGAACTTTGCCATTAATATCGATGATGGTAGAGCCGGCCACAGTGCACACATTGCTCGGGGCACAACTGACAGAGAAGGAGAGAAATGGATCAAAACTTAATACAGTTGAAACATGTTTCGCAATCATGCAATACACTCATTAAGTCCCTTCAAAAGGTTTTAGAACTAAATCTGATCCATATCAAGTTTTTATCCTGCCATGTTTCAACATTTCCACCATTTCATCAAATATTTACCTCCCATCGCCCTGGCAATGCTCCTTGGGACCACAATCGCTGACTACTCTTGCAACTCCATACACATCGCAGATTATAGCAGAGCAGGTGTCTTGGTCATATGTTGTTGTATTTGTCTTATAAACAACACCTAGGAGTTGGAATGTTTTTTAGATCATATAGCATAATTAATATAACATATTAGACTGCATTAGAGGAGTGGACCTACTAACCTGAGAGTCTGACATCCGCTCACATCTGCGATGACACCAGCATTTGTTTCAGATATCTGAAATTTCAGCTTGGAAACTGTTTGGCTGTTGACTTGTGAATCTGCCTCCTGCAAAGTTTTAAAAGCAGACAAAAAGTTAATTTCTATGAAACTGAGAATGCTCACAGGTCTGAATCAAAAAGATTGAAAAACAAAACTTCACATCAAAATTACACGAGGTGAATTTGAAAAGCATATTCATATTTTATTAATTTTTGGCAAATGGGAGCAAGGCATTGCATCCCCAACTGCTTGGGCGCTCCTTCATGGCAATCTACTTTTCTAAAAGTTCTACATTTACACTTACCACTTCAGTGTGTGTGTAGCCTGAATATGTCTTGATCGCCAGAATTGCTTGAGCCCCGAAGTTGCCAAGTTCAACTTGTTCAACCTTAAAACAAGACAAGACCAAAACAAGAAAATGGTTATCTGACCTTCTTTCTTCATAACCCCATCTCAATACATGAGTCGTATTAATATACAAAACACACTATAACAACTTTAATAAGACTTTAGAAAAATACCAACTTCATCATCTTGACTGTTCTTTAAAGGGATCACATTGACACAACTCCCAGCATGCTTCAGGTGTGGCAGAAGTTGATGAACCCCAGAACCAGGAGGTATTTTTCTTGTCAGAACTGTCAGGTCGCCTCTGTCAGCGGCCCCTCCAGACATCAGAATACAGTCGTTTTGGATTCCAGGTGTGTACAAGCTGTTGAAGCAGAATGCAAATTTGTTTGCATCGAGGCTCACCTGTTGAAAAAGCATAAACTCTGATTCCAAGGACAACCCCAATACAGTTTATATAATAATTGTACATTGGACTTACTATATATTGTGCTTTTTCAGAATACTCAAAGAACACCAACAAAACAGTGAAACCAGTGCAATGGAGAAGACCCTGTCCCCCCATGGCCGATGGTTAGTCCTGGGGGGGCTGCTTCAGCAAACCTTAGAGTGAGGTAGGGGAGCTTAGACAGGTAGGGGTTGTGGAGGGCTACATTATCGACGTGATGAATGTGTGGGTGAGGATCTCAGCGGCTGAAAATGAGTGTGATGGACGGAGGTGGGCAATATTTTTCAGATGAAAAAAGGCGTTTTTGTGTTTTGATATGTTGTTCGAAGGACACACGAAGACACACCGACACAAACACTTGAAGGAATCTTGGTGTTCATGCGTTTCTTTTAATGACAGCTGTCCTTTTCTATCGGAAAGGTATCCTTAAATGACTTCTTCCACTGATTTCTGACTCTATCCACTATCCTATCTCTACAATAAAGGCACAAAAAGCCCAAAAATAACATTGACATTATGTACAGGTAAAGTGTAAAGGCATGCAAGTGTATCAAGTCTATAACTCACATAGACTTTCTCATATTTCTGTCCAAAATAGGTGATGGGGCAGGACGAGATGTTCATCTCCCCAGAACTGGTAAATGCCTGGTACATTGCAGCAGAACCTGAAGATACAAAATAAATATTTTACCCAAAAGAAAACAGTAAAGGTCACCTTTAGAAAACCAGTGGTAAAAGGCCAACAAAACTAACGCTTTGGAGGAAAGACAGTTGGGTTCAGTACAAGAAAAAGAAGGATGAACAAAGTTGACAGTATGATCCAAACCAACTGAAAAGTTGCATATGATGCAAAATCCTCTTCTCCATGTTCCTCTAACTCTAACATGTGTCTCTAGTCCGTCTGCAAACCCCCCAATCATGAGAAAAGTCCATCCTCTCCATCTTCTGCCTGCTCCACTTTTCAGAAAATGTGTGCTCAAACAGGCCGTTTGGAGATTTTCTCTTCATGACATCACAAAGGGCAGTAGCCCCTCCCCAAGGTGGGTGACACTCCGACAGCTAGGTGTTTGTTCTGCCCTCTGAGTCTGCCTTTTCACCGTAAACAATAGGACATGGAGCGAGAAAGACTGAGACACCCAAGAACTGGCCAAAACATGGTGTTGAAAAATACTGAAGAACCAAAACTTTTGACAACCCAACCCTGGCCCTCTCTGTTGCTTACAAAATCCACCTATCAGAACTCTAAACATTTCAGAAAATAATTTAACTGCACTATAATGTGTGTGTATGTTTGCATGTGTCAGACTGTTTATTTAGGTTTA